ACTCCAGGCTGTCCTGAGTGTGCAGCCGTGCCCAGCACTTTGCTGCTACTGGAGCCCTCATCTTTCCCAATCCTGCATTCCAATCCAACCCAACATTCCCAATTCCACACTCACAGATTCCTYTGGGTTTCTCAGGAGCTCAGACATGACAGACTGAACAGTAACACTTCCTATCAATAAATCCTTAATTAAATCCTCAATTAAAGGAGGTTTTGTACCAGAACATGCCATTATCCCGCAGCTGTGGGTTGTCATGGCTCATGGAAMGGCTTCCTCAGGATTTTTCTGTGGAATATCTCTTCTCCCGTGCCAGGGATATTCCCGTTTGGAGAAAGTCTCTGGCTCTCCTGAGATGGTTGTTAGCAATAAAATTTATTTCTCTGGGCACAAATCCAGCTCCTGAAGGTCCAAAAACCACCTTGGCAAACGTCATCCTGCGTCTCTTAAGGGCTCTCACCGCTCCTAACCACAACTCAGTGGCTTTTTAAAAAACTCCCCTCACCCAGCCAAAAAGCACCAATTCCAAACATATCCCCAGAAAATTCAATCTTTATTTTTTCTGCTAGAAATAACTGCTGTAAAAATGCCCCGTTTGCCATCTTGTCTCAATCCCATCAGCCGGGGAGAGCTGCAAGCAGCCGATCSTCTCAGATGATGCTAAATATAAGTGAGACCTAAACAAAAAGCCCCTTCAGATGAGATATGCAGATTGCTCCYGAGACAGATTTCCATGCATATGGCAGCAGACAAGTGCAACATGCAAAGATTGGAAAACTTGTAGCAGCACTGGCAGTTTCTAGGTTTCCTTGGAAAGCTGCTTTACACTGAAAAAGATATGGAGAGAAAAATAGCGAAGAAAGTGCTTTAATTTTCTGTGCAGCAGAAATGTCAGCCAGCAGTTGTTCTGGTCCTGCCCTTTGTGACACACGCTGAGATATTTTTATTTCGCATTTTTCTCCCCTTTCATTTCTGCCTCTCCTCCATCCAAGTAGCTGTGATTTCACTTCTCTGGAGATTCAAAACAAAGCTCTGATTCATCTTCCAYGGGCTCTTGGAGCTGCAGCCAGCAGGATGCTGTGATAGGGATCCAGCAGGAGCTTCCCCCGAGGCAGACAGGACACACAGAACCCCTAAACCGTTCCCATAACACTGCCCTCGACGCCTTCCCAGTGTTTGTTGATTTTCTGTTGTTCACAAAATCTCCAAACACCGCCTCGCTCTGGGCTAAACTTCTCCAAAGCAAAGCAAAGCAAAGAAAACCAAATGAAATGAAGTCAAACCAAACAAAACCAAACTAAACCAACTGAACCAAACCAGACCAACCAAACCAAACCAAACCAAACCAAACCAAACCAAACCAAACCAAACCAAATGAAACCAACCCAACCAAATGAAACCAAACTAAACCAACCCAACCAAACCAAACCAACTGAACCAAACCAGACCAACCAACCCAACCCAACCCAACGCAACCCAAATGAAATCCAAACCAACCCAAATGAAACCCAAACCAACCCAAATCAACCCAAACCAAACCAAACCAAACCAACTGAACCAAACAAAACCAATGGAAGCAAACCAAACCAACCCAAACAAAACTAAATGAAACCAAATGAAACCAAACCAAACCCTACCTTTGGGCTGCAAACACATTTCTTGGGCTTGGGAGGGCTGAATTTTCCTGCCACGTCCCCCGTGGCACAGCTGAAGGCTTCCTCTCGCCCTGGAAGTGCAGCAGCCAGGCACTCAGGGCTGGGGGAGCTG